TTCAAGTTATTATTTTTAGCAATAGAAACGACTGTAAAGCAAAATATGTAACTGAAGGAGTAAAGGCAAGGCAATTACATTTCCACAGAGACAAGCAAGTAGTGGACCTCCGACCAGAAAAGTTGGGTTTGTGGTTTGGGGGAGTTTGTAGTAAATTTAAATGACATAATTTGGGAAAAAGTCCAAATCTGCCCTACATATCAGCCCAAAAAATTTGTATATACTGGGATATCGGTTGCTTTTCTTTCTAAACAATTGGTATCGGTATAGACCTCAAAATGATGATCCATCTCTATTACTTCGTACACCTTTAATTGAAAACAAGCACCAAAGATCTGTAGTGAACAACATTCTCTCAGACATCCTCCTTATGATGTTGCCAGCTCTGAGTATTTTCAGCGTTTGGTGACTCAATGCCCTGGCCTGACCCGCCTGCACTGGGGCGTCTCCTCTTCAGGGTGGTATGGTCCAGATGACAGGGCTGTGGACCGGATGATAGAGTGACCAAAGATCTCTCAGCACCAACACGCGACATCAAACGTGGAGAGAAGCGGCGGAGCAGACAAAACAATGGTCAGACTGAACGAAAACAGAGGCCCAGAGCATGGCGGTGTCTTTAGCAGCGGGGGGAGGAGCTGACACAGCGCTAGTTTTACAGAAAATACACAGAGACGGTTACTTTCACTTCACGTTTAAAGCTGCATTATGGAACTTTTCTGGTGGTGGGTCTACCTGGCTGTTGGTGATGTTATTGCTTTACCTGATATGTCATTAAACCATAGACCATTAAACCATGTAAAAAAGCCAGGTCCATATTAGGAATAGGAATTTATTTACAGATAAAATTGGAATTGGAGTTAGAGTCAATGGACCCGGAAGCACAGCCGTGGTCACTTTCTATTTGGAATACAGCAGCTAACAGTTTAATTATGCCATTTATATATACATTCTACGCATTAAATACATCTATCTTGTATTGAATTGTGTGTTTTTATTGCTTAAGAAGGCTTGAACCCGTGGTAACAGCTGCTTGTGTCCATGAAAATAGTTTAGATAATTAAAGCTTAATGCCATGCAGTGGAATATTCCATGGAAAGCAATTATCTCTATGGAGATAATCAGGTGACCAAAACATACACAGCGCATCTTTAATAAGAGCTTTGATGTTCTGTAATTACAGATGATTGTCGGATGAGGTAATGTCATAGTTGGAATAAGAACACCACCCAAAAAGTAAAGGGTGACCGGGGTTAAGAATGTGTTTGCCATGAATTAATAGGTGCAATTTTCTTGAGGTTAAACACAGGTCAATAATAATGTTGATGATAATTCAAACACTGTTTTCATAAGCAGATACTAATTAACATTTTCACAACTGCCACTGTACTCCTGAGGCTGCTCATCATTTACTTTATTGAGATTGGTACAATATGTATCTTTCTTTTATTAGAGTACGGCTAGGCGATTCATCAAATATGAATCAATACTGTCATACAGTCATTTGTAATTATTATTCAGCTAATTATTATTTATACTTTGGAGAAATAAATTGTTAGATTTTTTTTTTTTTTGTATATAATGACAGTGATTTAACCCTCTCCAGGCAGGTGTTGCAGATTTGCAACAGCTAAATTCCAATTACCTACTTACTTCACATCCATAGGGATGCATCAGGAGCCTTTTCTCCCATCCATGCTGATAAACGTGGACGATGCAGACTGTGCAAGAATGGCTCCACGCAAATGGCTTGCCAGAAGTGCAAAATACTTTTTTTGTTCACAAAGGATAAAAAAGTCAGGATTGTATATTACTACCCCATATTATAATTTTCCCCAAATATCAGATTTTTCCTGATACTAAAAATTAATTTGAGCCTGAGAGGGTTAAAGTACCAGATTTTACAGTTGTGGAAAAATAGTGGTCCAAAGCTCTTCCTCACTTACCTTATGCATTCTGAGCATCCTAATTATTCATTACACTAGTTTATAAGCACTTTTCATAACTTTCAGAGACCAGAGCAGAGTTATGACATGGCAGTAAAGTTAACAACTAGCGTGCTAGCATGCACTTTCTAATTATTGGACAATAAAATTTTTCATAATTAGATACATACAGTACACAGCAGACTTACTATGATCTCAAAAGCTGCAAATACAATATTAGTATAAGTACAGTACTGGGGAAAGAGAAATTTTGCTCAAATACATGGGGAAAAATGTAGGACAGGGCCTTTAAAGAGCATTATGTAACTTTTCTAGAGGGAGGTCTGCTGCTTTGCTTGAGTCCATGGAGCGAAGCCTTGGAGCAGACAAAAAGAATGGACAGACTGAAAGAAAACAGAGGCCCACAGCGCGGTGTCTCTGGCCGCTGAGGAGGTGCAGACACTGGACTCATTTAACAGGGTTTCAGACAATACACAGAGACAGCAGGAGCACCATGTGGACTCTGGGGCTGGATAATAAGTTAGAATAAGTTAGACATCTGCAAGGAGCAAATAAGCACACAGTGTTTAGAGCATTGGCAGGATAATCTTATTCGGTAAGGGCCCTGGTTTTCATAGAGTTTTGTATAACAGGCAGAGTGCAGATACTCATCATAACAAATACATAAACGCACCATGTATTATTTTTAAAACCTCTTTTGTGTTTTGTTTAGTTTTGTTCACACATGTTTAACAGAAAAACTTCATATTTAGGTTCTTCCCTCAAACTGAAAACACTCTGTTCCACCTTGTGATGTCATACAGGAAGTGCTCCACTGTGTTTTTAAACTCCATACACTTTCACTAGAATCATTTTAATAATTTCAGTCTTGCAGTTGCAGAGGATTTTAAAGGTGCTTTTTGGTTAAACATTTCCACCTTACATTTATTCAGTTACAGGTGGTTTTATAGCTCAGAAATAACTAGAAACACAGGCATTCTGACTTTCACCTCTCCACAGATCTGACCTATAACTTGGTCTTGTCTGGTCTCCGTGAAGATAGAAAGGAAGGTTTAATACCATACTGTGAAACATTCCACACAAAGCAATAACATCTCCATGTAAAAAAGCATTTGATGGGCCCTCCACCAGAAATGTTACACAATGCACCTTTATGTAGGTCATTCTAATACCCATTCTGCCCTCTCACACTCCATACAGAGTACCAGGTCGTGCAGCTAACGGCTCACAGCTACCTTTATCAGAGCGACTAATGTCTCCAGAGCTTTTCAAAGAGTGGCCTTTAGTGAAGAATGCCTCTCAGATGGGATCACAGTGAGCAGGCTGCAGGGCTGTGGGGGTATGGTGGTATAAACATGCACAAAGCGGTATTAACTGTAATACTGTGTAGGTGGTGAGTGTGGGCTGCCCCTTGTGGTATGCGGGACCTCTGCAGTTTGAGTATTTGTTATGCTTTTGAAGGATTACCTAATCCATAGTTTAGTCTCATTTTAGACTTGGTTTAGTCTAATTTTAGACTATGTTTCGCTCTAATTTAAAGGTCCTGCATTATGCAAAATTGACTCTTGTGAGCTTTAAGCCATGTTCCTATGTTGTGTTTTGTTTCATTCACATATTCATTCACATCTGTCTACACACACAAATGCTCTGTTCCACATTGTGATGTTGTGTAGAGGTAGTTTTCACGTTAACAGATAACTTTTTACTGTTTGCTTCAAGGCTGAAATCATCCAAATGATTCAAGTGAAGGTGTATGCATTTTAGAAAAGCTCCACAGTAGAGTTATTCCTGTATTACCACATGACATCACAAAGTAGAACAGAGTACTTTCTGTTTGGGAGAAGAACCAAATATAACCTAAATATGTAGGATTTGTCTGTTGAATGTGTGAATGAAACAAAACACACATCCGTTTATGATGTTGATGAGGAAACAATATTATAATAACAAAGACCAGAAAATAGCGTAATAATAATGATAAAGTCCGAGTTTAGATCTGGTAGTCTCGGGGAAAGCCAAATATTATCTTTATTGATTCACATAAACCATTTCAAACTGTTTCTAAACCTTATTGCAAGAAGGTAGCAAAAAACAGACATATATTTAAGACCAACTGACTGTTTACCTAATACACCCATTCACCTCTGCAGGAATTCAAGTCTTTGGCATCAAATCTGCAGTTCCACCTCAGCCTCTTTTCATCAGCGGTGATTAAAAAGGTGGAGAAACTATAACGTAAGAGGATTAAGTCTAAACAAATGCACGGAAACCAAACTGGTCCTGAAGTCAGCACTCAGTCAAACTAATCAGTCTGCTAATAATGAGATATGGTTCATTTCCAGCACACACAAAGCCAACTAAACAAGAACATACATAGAATTATTCCTCACAACATTGTCAAAACAAGCACAACGCCAAAGGGTAAAAGTACGCAAAACCCACACACACTCATACACACAAGTAGTCAAATTAGAGAGATGATTGGCAGCTCATATTATAGGCAGAACAGGCCCGGGCACGGAGGGGGAGGGGTGACGGGACCAATTAGAGACATTTTTGTGGATGATAATAACTATAATACAAGTCTATAAAGGCTATTGATGGCAGCAGTGCAGATGAGCAGAGTAATGAAAATACCTGTGTGTGCCCAAAATACGGACCCGAGGCATGACCCGTGACTGTGCATGTGTTTGTGTGTTTTTGTGCGTGTGTGTGATGAAAGAGAGAGAAAGAGGGAGTGAGAGGAGTGAGCAAAAGAGGGAGAGACACAGAGAGACAGAGAGAGACAGGAGGGGTAGGGAGAGAGATGAAGGGAGAAGAAGGTGGAGCAGTATAAGAGGAAGAGTCTTTCTCACTCTCAAGGGAGTGAGAAAGAGTGAGGGATATTGAGACAGAGGATGAAATGGAGAGAGGGGTACAGAGAGAAAGGAAGAGGGAATTTGGGATGCAAAGAGAGGGTGAACAAGAAAGAGGAGAGTGAGTGAGAGAGAAAGAGAAATGAAAGGAGGCTAAGAGAAAGGGAGAGAGAGAGCAGGAGGAGGAGTGCCAAAGACTCACTCTGGCAGGTGGGGATGTCACAGTAGCGCCAGTAGATGCCATCTTCATGGTCTGCGATGTAGCACCAAGGCTGAACGTCTCCATCTGGATTCCTGAAACAAACAACAGGGGTCAAACAACAATGAAAAAATCTAATTAAAGCAAACTTATTATGCAAAATGGACTTTTCAGAGCTTTTAACCATGTCATCGTTGTTTCCCCTTCTCATTTCCCCTCTCAGAGTTTGGAGAGTTGTTTTGAGTGATTGTGCGTGTTTGAGCAATCTTTCTCTAATAGCTTATTTTCAAAACAACAATCAATCCCTGTTTTCACCACCACCAGCATACGCCCACTGTTCTGTATTTGCTTCGTTGTTTAATTTTATTTTCATAATTGATCACGTGCATAGGAATTGGCAGCATCACATTGTCATTGTGATACAAATGGAAAAGAATGTTGTTGTGATGACGTCACATCACAGCACAACAACGTCTGCTCCCATTGGGCACAGCAGTTTTCTAACACTGAAGTCTGTGAGCTTGTTTCTTTTATCGAGTCACCAAAAAGTCAATAGTTTAGATTTTTTTTTTTACTTTAATGGCCAGAAAAGCATTTGATTTAGTTCCCTCACAGATGAAAGAGTCACTGAGAGGAGGTGAGGACAGAATGAAATGAAAGTAAAAACAACAGAGACGGTCCGTCCTCTGAACTGCTGGCTCTGGTGCTCAGTATTGTTTCAAAGACTAATCCTCCCGTCACTCAAACACCATCAACCCCACAAGTCTGTTGTCTTAGCCTCTACTTCTACTCTACCTGTCAGTCACGGGACAAACTGCTGCTACGGAGTTTAGCAGGGGTCATGGAGGAGGCTACTGTGGTAAATGTCTTAAATATTATCAGTACAAATATATGCAATGAAGTATTTGTTATAAGGTCCTATATTATGCAATAAGGCCCTATATTACGCTATATTATGCATTTTGCACTGCTGTGAGCTTTAAGACAGTTTATATTGTTGTTAAGCCATCAAAAACATGTTTGAGTAATCCTTTAATATTAGTCTGTCAAAATTTTCAAAGCTCAGCATGCTCTGTTCCACCTTGTGATGTCATGTAGTGGTATTTTTCAAATTAACAGCTCCTTTTACCTTAAGTTTAGTAGAAATCAGCTATTCCAGTGCTGAAATTACTTAAATGATTCTAGTGATGGTGTGTAGAGTTTAAAAACACAGTGGTGCACATCCTGTATTACCACATGACATCATAAGGTGAAACAAAGCGTTCAGTGTATATATTTATTGTTCAGTATATATTTATTATTGCCTCTCCCTCTTGGCAGACGTGTCAGTCAGAGAACACTCCACTGCTCTTGAGGTGGTGGTGGGGGGGCAGAGGTAGAGTGGAGGTCATCGGCTCTTTGCAGTGAAGCAGATGCGGGACTGTTGTAAAACTCAGGGTGAAGGGCTAAAAACCTTTTGTCTGAAGTTACGCCACTTTTGAACCTCAGAAAGATACTTTTAACCCATCATGAGGCACTGACAACCCCCCTGGTGCTTTTAAGTGTCACTTTCAATAGTGAAGATAGAGAGTGGAAAATTGAAATGGCCTTTAGCACTTCAAGACTGTGACTTCTAAGCAGAGGTGAGGAGAGCAGCTGAAAATATTATGCAAAGAAGAAGTTCAAAATAGTTGTTCAAATTCAAGTATAAGAGAACACGAGGATTTGGGGAAACTACTGCTCAAGTAGGAGTAATTGTAAGAGTAATGGTCTGGACAAAACATCTGATTAAAAATTTGAAGTCAATGTAAATCATATCTGAAGGAACAATGAAAGAGACACAAATGTTCAAATCAGCAGTTTCGCTGATTTTTTTAGCGCCATTTTGGATGCTTTTATTTTTTTACAGAATGTGAACGAGCATTGTGTTCCTCCCCCTGCAATCTGATTGGCTAAGGGACTGTAGACCATTGTCAATCAATCTCCTCCATGCCGTGTCTCCTTCGCCAAATTTACATAAATGTTCCATCTCTAGCAGTGTGATTCTGAAGTGCTGTATGTTTGCAAGTTTTCTCCCCGACAAAACCCACAATGTCGATGAAACGTTCTGCATCGACAAAGGCTCCTGCGGTCGCACAGAAAAGGCTTAGGAAGATGCAAATCATCGCACAAAAAGTTGGACTTCTGGACATGCTGAAAAAAGGTAGAAGTTACGCGGCTGTTGGGTACCTGAACTGAAGAAATCTTTAATCTTTGGTTCGTTATATAAAGGAGGAGGAAAATAACAGGACAACAGCAGCTATAAGTTTTAAGAAGGATGCAAAAAGGGTTGTAAGTGTCCTGTCTGAATAAAGTGAAAAAGTGTATAAAGTGTGGTGAGGGGTTTTACAGCTTTAAAACATATAATAATTGAAAAAATATATAAAGCTGACTACTTAGTGGATTTTGCCTATTGAGGGTTATTTTTAGAACATAACCCCCACAATAAACAAGGGACCACTGTACACCATTTTCTGATCTATGTTATAATGTTGTTTCCTCATCAAAAACAGGTCTCTCAAACTGAAAACTCTGTTCCAACTTGTGATGTCATATGGTAATACTGGAAGTGCTCCACTGTGTTTTTAACCTCTACACAGCTTCATTCGAATCGTTTGGATAATTTCAGGCCTGGAATTGACAGTCATTACTAAACAAAAGGTAAAAGGAGCTGTTAACTTGAAAACTACCGCTTCATGGCATCACAAGCTGAAACAGAGCATTTAGAGCTTTTGAGATGTTGACAGACTAAAAATAAAAGATTACTCCAACATGTGTGAATGAGACAAAACACAACTCTGGGTATCTTTTTCATGAGTTGACATTATAACATGCTTAAATCTCACACGAATCAGTTTTGTGTAATATATGACCTTTAAAAACATGACTGACTATTCAATTCTTTAGGCGATATTTCTGTATGAATATGAACTACAAAAACACACGCCCGTCCACTGGTACATCTTCTAAAATGTCAATGCTACTTTTCTGTCCTTGGTATAATTGCTGGGGACCCTTTGCGTGGTCTCTTTTGACACAGCTCATTGTAACTTCATGAAAAAGCCCCGCGGCGCTGCCCTATCGCGTTTCGTCCTTTGTGAGCTGAGTTGTGAAGGGCGTTTCCAAGTCTTTTCTTCTCCTATCAAAAACACTATCCTGAGTTTCCTCCTCTCTTTTCACAGTCAGAATGAGGAGTTGACAAAGATGTGGCTTCTATAGACTTTTTAGCTGTTGAATTCGGGTTTAAGTGGCTTTAAGCTTTTCTTTATCAACAACAAACTGTTTTACAACTGAAAAACAACTGAGGACAATGAAAAAGAATATTAAAAGAATATTTAATTGTAATTGAGGTAAAGATTCAAGAATAATTGCGATATTTTTGTATTTAAATGCACAGATTAAAGGTTTTGTATATGGTCATTAAATCAATCCTGAAAACCATTTTTAAATTTAGTAATCATAAAACTGAATCAAAAATGTTTATTGAAGTTAAGGTACACTTTAATGTACCTATATTGAAATTTGTCCTCTGCATTTGACCCAAATTGGTCAATATAAGGGGAAAAAATGTGCTATATCTCAGCCCTATTTGCTGGCTTTGATTTCAATTTCAGCAACTTTTTGTTTTTAGAAAGTTGTCATTTCTATGTTCTAATGTTTTGAAACTATTCAATTTTCATTCCAATTTTAAAGAGCCCATATTATGTTATCTTCTGATCTATGTTATAATGTTGTTTCCTCATCAAAAACAAACCTGAAGTTGTGTTTTGTTTCATTCACACATGTTTAGCACAGAACTCTTGCATATTTCGGCTGAGTTCTTCTCTCAAATAGAAAATACTTGTGATGTTATCTGGTAATACAGGAAGTGCTCCACTGTGTTTTTACACTCACCATCACTAGAATCATTTGGATAATTTCAGCTCTGGAATTGCCAGTCTCTATAGTGATTCACTCGAAAACTAAAAATAAAGGATTACTTAAACATGTATGAATGAAACAAAAGTCAACAACTCCAGGTATGTTTTTGTTGAGGTAATAACATTCTAACACGGCTTAAAGCTCACAAAAGTCCATTTTGCACAATATAGGACCTTTAAAACAGTGTTCACTTACTCAACACGGCAGCATCTCCTGTTACATCTGTTGTTGGCGAGACAGTAGATTTGTTTACCTCCACACTTTGACATTGTATCATGGACAAAGATATGTTTGTGGCTCCACCCTGACACCTGTTTGTCATGCCTGAAACCTCTGATAAAAACAAGACCAAAAAAAAAAAGCTCTAAACGACATTATACTGCCTTCCTCCATTTTACCTCCTCTTCTCTTACAATCCTGTCACTGTATAATAGCGTCATTTGAAATACGACTCTTAAAAACTCATCCAAGACCACTCAGGTAATTTACTGCAGTTTTTAATCACGCCCTGAGGATGAAAATGTGAATTACAACCATCAGAATAACTGTAAAGAGGTATCCTGACCAGACCACCCCAGCTAATGTGTAGCTGGCGGCAACTTCGATGGCTAAATGATGTAGTGAGTGTATGAGATTTCCCCTTCAAGCCCCTGGTCCCAAAATAAAGAAACATCACCTCTCACTATCTTACACCTGTGCACGGATTGCTATAAAAAGAAGGGAAAAAAAACATGGGAATATCATCTACAGGGCTGAGTCAAGAAGCAAAAGAAATAGAACCAACCGTGCCCCGGGCCAATAGTTGTTTTTGAGAGTGACAGAGGAGAGGAGAGAGGAGAGGTGGGGGGAGTTTTGGGAGAGAGAGGATTAAGGATCAGAGAAGACACTGTTGGAGGGGAAATTAATTTGTGTAAGCCAGCAGTAGGTAAAAAGTATAATTATAAGATTCAAGTTATTTTGAGGTTAAAACCACTAAAAGTTGTCCATAATCCTGTTATTGCTGCAATGATATGGGAAAATAACGCTGTATTTGAACACAAAATATATACATAAAAGGTGCTATATTAAGCAAAATTGACTGTTGTCAGATTTAAGCTGTTAGAACCTTGTTACCTCATCCAAATCATACCCATGGTTGTGTTTTGTTCCATTCACA